AAAATACAATCAGGCAAATTTTCTTACTATTCTTCTGAATATGATTAGACCTCAACCTTAATAAATGTCCGTGCGACTAGAAACTCTTCACTATACTTTGCAGATACTGAAAGTTCCAAACATTTTTGCAAATAGTAATTTGCTGGACGAGTCCACATATTAAAACAAATGGTAATCGAAAATCACTTTACTAGTATATAACAGGATGAACTTCCACGCCTAAGCTTTTAAATGGTCTAGTCTTCTTAAGATGGCTTAAGAGTGATACGGCATTAAGCGTCTATGCAAGTCATTCTGAATATCTTCTTGTGGAAAGGATGCACTACTGGATTAGCGATTACATTTCAAATATTCCGCTATCAGTTGCGACTGTGACGGTCATTTGTAAGGAAAAATAATTTTTACGCGAGCTTTTTCTGTTCAGCTAATATTCTAAAAACTACCTCATCGTACAATTTCCTAAGTTCAGCACAAAACTGCTTGTCATCGTGATCTTCACTGACGAAAGGGATGTGGGAAAGTCTGTGCTCCTCATCAGCCTAGAAGCATCATAATAGAAGAGGACGAAACCGACATTATTGCAGACTTACTCTGATGTTGCACTCAGTATGAACCCAATACGCGGTTCTTGGACGCAACTCAAGAGCTGGTAGGAAACGAACACCACACTTCTGAGCATTAGCGAGGCGGCAGTCGGTTGTCTGAAAATAGAACCTTTAAGTCTTGAAACTACTAGAAACAATCATAATTAGAATAAACTCCACCCAGGAAACCTTAAAATGCGTGATGAATTCGCTCAAGTCATCAGGTTCAAGGTTTAATGGAGTTGGAGTCGAGTCATCATAGGTATGATAACGACGCAAAGGCAATTGGCTGATGTTCTTGGCAAATGCTGGCTATAAAAGGAAAAGAGCAATCTTCGGAAAGCAGAGAAAGATATAAATGGAAGAATATATATTATGACATCTTATATTTAGTAATTCTCAATATAAAGCCAAGAGCGCACAGTGATAAAAAGAAACTTTACCGCTTCTTCATTGCTTATTCTGTCGTCATACTCCTTGATCACCTTGTTATAAACTTCCATCACTCTCCTGCCACATTTCTTCAAAAACCCTTCGTCCAACAGCCGTTCATCCTACCATGCATTAAGTGTGTGGGGAATGTGTGTAGAGTAAAAGGCATTATTCTAACAAACCTCAAATTCATCATCGCTTCCCAGACAAAGCAACGACTCTTCAAAAAACGAGCCGTCACAGTCCATGCTAGAGAATGCCTCCTCAACATCCATAATATCTTCATCAGCAAATTCATTCTGTAACGGAGGGCTACTTCGAAGAAAACGCTTATAGAAAATCTGATTGCTGATACTTTATCCCTCTTAGCCGACGCTCTCCTCTTACGAGTACGGCAGCTGCGTGTTTCACCAACAACAGTCGATGGCTGTCTCCGTGAAGAATTCGGTGAGATGACTGTCATTGTACCTAGTTTCTAAAATAAGGAAATCTTAAAATTCAATAAGCTTATCATTAAAAAGTTCACAGGATCTTTACTTCAGGCAAACCATTTTTAAATTAACAAATCTTAAAATACTTCTGGATGTATAGGCGTAAAATTTGCTGAAGATGAAAGTTTACACGATTATTAGAAAGCAACTTTAGGCTAACTGAAAAACCACGGATATGTTGGATAATATTTGAAATAGCTTCCGTCAGAGCAACAAAATTGCCAAACGCTCCAATAAAAGAGTTTCGTAAAGATTTCAATTCGGGATAAATATTATGGTTTAACAGGGCAAATTGTGCTCAAGGGAACAACATGAAAATTGGCTTACACACGTTTAGTCGCTGTTTCTACAATTAAAATTACTGCAAAACTTAATAATCTTATTTAAAATAAATCAGCGATTTTTTAAATTTTAGAGGCTGGATTATTTCCTTATTTTCTTCACCTAAACTTGAGGTCTAATCGTGAATGAACAGGAAAAACTGACTCCTCTTTTTTTTAGGAGAGGAGGGAAGCTTACTCCTTTCACCCTAGACTAGTGAGAAGCTAATGATACGGGTCAAGGAGAAAAAGAGACTTTCAACTTTGGCGCGTATTCAAGGAATACAAGGACGGCGAATAGCGATGGAGATTACAATATTATAGAATACTTAATATATTTTCATACTATTGCATTAAAAAGAACTACGAAAATGAAATTATGCATCAAGTTTTTTATGCAGAAAACATTTCTAACAATGATCTATTATGTTATAGTATTTTTAAACAGTTATATATCGTGAATCAGACATCGTGCCTTCTGCTTTTGGTCAGCGAAGATATACGACAAAAAGGAACAATTTCCTGCTTCAAATGGTACATGCTATTTTGTATTGAACATTCCTTTGGCAAATATATTTGAAATTTGAAATGAGGAAGAAATTGAAAACTAGGTTTTTTGCTCAAAAAAAAAGTTTTTTT